CCCTCCGCAGCCCTGCCCAACCCCCCCCACCTACTCAGAGCAGAGTTGCCAGATAAAAGGCAGGGCGCCGGGTTTTAGCATAACTTACGCTAAAAAAAGGGATCCGCTTCTTATCTGGAATACAGATAAAACTGGGCGGCCAACATCTGTCTATGCTACAGCTGGCCACCTTGGCCCAGATCCTAATCCAAGGCATTCCCGGCGCCCGCACGTGGAAACCTGGAATCCTGAACCCTTGTCTGTAACCGGGTAGCTTCAACTAGGTAACACCCAAGCCTGGGTGTGCGATTGTGCACGTGCGTTTGGCTGGGGAAATGGCCAGAATTCTTGGACGCCCTCTGCGCCTCGACGATCCCCCAACGCTTCCAGGGACTGGGAACTGGCTCACCCTCACTCTGCCGATGAGGCCAGTGGTGTCCTAAGAGGTGACTCCCCCGGAAAGCCAGAACCCAAAAGATGCCTGAGTGATTTTAGAGCACTTTCCTCCATCCGAGATCCAACAAGGTGGGGCCACCAGGGGCAAAGGCCAAGTTGGATTGGCCCTGCTGTGTCCCTGGACCCAGCCCGAGCTGAAGAAGGCTCCGCCTTGAGGACCGGCTTGCGGAGTGAATGCCTGCCGGTGAAATGCAGCCTCGCGAAGAAAGCCGCTGTGCTGCAGCTCCCAGGAAGGAGAGGAAACGGCAAGTCCATGGGGCGGGGAGCAGGAAGGTCTGGGGGGTTGGATGGAAAATCGCCAGATGGATAAGCTGTCCAGGAAAGAGATTCCCCTCCCCCTGTATCCCTATATCCTCCCTGGGCCAACAGAGGAGATGACTCCTCCGATGAGGAAGCCGGGCCTCAGGGTGCATTCAGACCAGAAAGGGCATCTCAGCAGTGTCGAGAACAGACCAAAGGGACCAGAGTCCTACCCCCTGATTTTCTGAATCATATTAGAACCTCACCAGGACTTTCTTACAATACAGGCTGGTAAGGGACTCCCATCTCTCTGTTGAATTAGAGTTGGGAGCAGATTGTTTCATTTAAAAAAATACGCGGCATTGGTTCACACCTGTAATCCCAGCACTTTGAGAGACTGAGGTGGGAGAATTGCTTGAACCCAGGAGTGTGAAAACAGTCTGGGCAACATAGCGAGAACTCATCTCTGCCAAAAACAAACAAACAAAAAACAAAAAACAGGTATGGTAGCCCCACACCTACTTGGGAGACTGAGGTAGAAGGATCACCTGAGCCCAGGAGGTGGTGAGCCCTGATAGCACCACTGCACTCCTGCCTGGGCAAGAGTGAAACCCCAACTATTAAAAAAAAAAAACGGAGCCGGGCTCGGTGGCTCAGCCTGTAATCCCGTGCCTTTGGGAGGCTGAGGTGAGTGGATTGCCTGAGCCCGCGGGTTCGAGACCCGCCTGGGCAGTGAGACCTCATCTCTACAATAAATCAAAAAAAATCAGCTGGGCGTGGTAGCGCATGCCTATAATTCCGGCTACTCGGAAGGCTGAAGCGGAAGGATCGCCGGAGCCCAGCAGGTCGAGGCTGCAGTGGCCGCTCCCGGACACTATACCTCCAGTGCCTGACCCAGACACTCTATACCTCCAGTCTGGTAGCAGTTCCAGCTTCAGGAACATGGAACACCTGTCTCGGTCTCATGCTTGGGCTGAGCCAGTTCCTGCAGTGGGGGAAGTCTGTGTGGTTGCCCTTCACCTATCAGGTGGCCTCTGGAGCAGAGGGGTAACGTGGTGACCAACAAACTAAGGGTGCTATTGGCAACAGTGCTGGCTGGCAGACAACAAGGTCTTCCCGTTTCCCCCGCCTGGACTAAGCAGATGCTCAGGGCCAGCTTAAGACTTTCTGGGGCCTCTCTTCCATACACACCTGGGTGGGAGCAGGCGTGGGACTGTTCCTTAAAGTTGTGGCAAAATGTCTCCCTGTGTCCGAGCCTCTTGTCTTGTGACTTTACTTCTCCCATCAAGAGGTATATCCTATTTCTCCAAGCCCTTGAAACTGGCCTGGCCTGGTGACTTTCTTTTGATTTTTTTTTTTTTAATTGTAGAGAAGAGGTCTCGCCAAGTTTCCTGGGCTGGTCTCGAACCCGCGGGCTCAGGCAATCCACTCACCTCGGCCTCCCAAAGTGCTGGGATTATAGGCTGAGCCACCAAGCCAGGCCTGGCCTAGTGATTTTCTTTGACCAACAGGGTGCAGCAGAATTGGTCATGTGCCAATTCCAAGTTTGAACTTTAGGTGGCCTTGGAGCTCCCAAGTGTTCTCTTGCAACCTTACCTGGGCCCCCTGTGAGCATGCCTAGGATGGCCTACCGGGATGGGACATCATATGTAGAAGAGCCAGTTATCCAGAGGCCATCCTACACCAGCAGACCCTAAAACGTGAGAACAACCAAGACTAGAACCTCCCCCCCACCTCCACCCCTGACTTGTAGATCCAGGAGCAACAATAAATGCCTGTTTAATGTCTCAAGCTTTGGGGTGGTTTGTTCCAAAACAACAGCTAACTGACACTCTCAAGAGCGGAGAGCCTTCACACTGGGAACCCCTGCCTTCCCCTCCCTGCATGGGCCCTTTGAGAGAGAATCAAGCTGCACCCCGGAAGGAAGCCAGCTAGAGGGAGATGAGGCCCCGCTGGTGCTGAGAATGCTATCTCTGGATCTTTCTTGGCTGCACTTCCTGAGTGCAGCCTAGTCAGAAGATCCTTGTTGACAGTATCTGAGACCCACTTGGGCTGGGGCTTTCTCTTTGGAGACAAGAAACAGATTCGCCGGGTGCGGTGGCTCATGCCTGTAATCACAGCAGTTTGGGAGACGGAGGCAAGAGGATTTCCTGAGCCCAGGGGTTCAAGACCAGCCTGGGCAACTTGGTAAGACCTCATCTCTACAATAAATCATAAAATTAGCCAAGCATGGTGGTGCATGCCTGTAGTTCCAGCTACTTGGAAGGCTGAGGTGGAAGGATCACCTGAGCCCAGGTCGAGGTTGCAGTGGCCTTGAGCATGCCACTGCACTACAGACTGGGTGAAAGAGTGAGATTCCAACTTAAAAAAAACAACAACAAAACAGATTCACACATCCTAGCTACAGAGATTCCAGCATCTGGTGTGAGGCTGCGTTTAGCTAGTTTCCATGTGTGGGACTATGAGAGCATCGAGGTACCAGTGTTTTCTCCAAGCTGAGGACATTCAGGGCCAAGGGAAGCACTGTTTGTGAGTGAGCAAGTTCAGTGTCATGTGAGGTTCAGAGGAGATGGGTGGTGTTTGTTTTTTTTTTTTTAATTCAGAGTCTCACTCTGTCACCCAGGCTCGGGGACAGTGGCATGATCATGGCTACCACAGCCTTGACCTGTGGGGCTCAGGCAATCCTTCCATTTCAGCCCTCCAAGTAACTGGGACTCTTTGGAAAATCTTACACCTTTCAACTTAGAATCACTATGAAAATTAAATTCATATTTTATATTGGAATCAGATTTATCTACCAGATACTCTACCATGCCAAATTCCCTTGCAATTACATATAATATCAGACTGTAAACTCAACATGAAAATATTAATGCTCTGGTTTCTATCTGCTTTGTCATTCCCATATTTGATTCAATCTTTGAGGTAAAAGACCCTATAAGGAAACAACCCATTGCAAGGCGTTTGGCGTGCCCTTCACACTGCCTGAGGGTGCCTAGAGATGATGGCCGTGGACTAAGGCCTGGGTATTCTCAGGCAACAGGGACAAGCTGAACCTATTTTTTTTCCCTGGTTGCTAAAACCATGCCCAAGTCGGGCTTAGGGACTGGTGCCCAAGAAACCCATCACTTGATTCTCTAGTCTGGGGCTTGCATACACCCATGCAGTGCTGCCTTGAGTCCTCCAGTTCTTGACATTCTTCCCCTATTAGTATTGTTATTATCGCCATATAACAGGTGAGGGAACTGTTGGAACTGTTCAGACTTACTTCAACGATGGAACTGGCCAGGTGCAGAGGTTCAAGCCTGTAATCCCAGCACTTTGGGAGGCAGAGGCAAAAGGATTGCCTGAGTCCAGGGGTTCGAGACCAGACTGGGCAACTTGGCCAGGCCTCATCTCTACAATAAAGTAAAAGAAAAAATTAGCTAGACGTGGTAGTGTGTGCCTGTAGTTCCAGCGACTTGGATGGCTGAGGCGGAAGGATCGCCTGAACCCAGCAGGTCGAGGCTGTGGTGGCCGGGAGTGTGCCTAAACCAATGCAACTCAGGTTAAAACTGTTACTGAGCAGCAGGGTTTCAGCTGGGGTCCAGTTGCTTGCAACAGGAAAGTCAATCACTAAGACAACGAGTATTGCCAGGGAAGGCTTTTAGCTGTGTTTTTTGAGTTGGAGTCTCACTCTGTCGTCCAGGCTGGAGTGCAGTGGCATGCTCACGGCCACCCCAGTGATGACCTGCTGGGCTCTGGCGATCCTTCCACCTCAGCCTTCCAAGTAGCTGGAACTACAGGCATGTACCATCACGCTTGGCTAATTTTTTATTTGTTGTAGAGACGAGGTTGCCCGGACTGGTCTCAAACTCAAGGGCTCAGGCAATCCACTCGCCTTGGCCTCCCAACGTGCTGGGACTACAGGCTGAGCCACCAAGCCCAGTCTTTTTTTTTTTTTTTTTTT